CCTCGGGGCTGCTCCGGGCCCGCTGCCCCCGTGCGCCCTCCACCTGGGGGCGCCGCCTAGAGCGCGAGCCCGGCGCCGAGCCGAGCCCTCGACAGCAGAAGCTGCGCGGCCGAGGACTCCGCCCCACGCGGTCCGACCCCTCCTGGTGCCCGGGGACAGCGATGTAGTGCCTGTAGGTCCACGCTCACGCTTCCCTCCTGCCTCGGCCCCGTCGCCGCGCCCTTCCCCCGCGCTGCGGACCGCGAAGGAGACCTGAGGTCCGGCCGCACCCGCTGCCCTTCCGGTGCGTGGACTCGCGCGGTGGTTTGGGCTTCACGCGCACAGCCCCGGCCGCGCCCGTCCCTTGACCACGCGCGGACACCGCCTCGGCTCCAGGGTCTCAGTTCGGATATTGCCTGCTCCTCCGCTTAGTGACAACGCGGCGAACCACCCGTCCGCCCCTCAGTCCACGCGCGTCCATCCGTCTAGTATCTCAGCTGCCACCAAGGCTGCATCTTCACGGAGGTGACATTTCTGTCCCAAGGACACAGAGACTGACCTCGTGGTGCCAGGGCTGTGCCCACACAGCGTCGCCCGTGGGCCTGCACCCTAGTCTACCTTGCGAGTGTGCTGCTGGCTGCAGAGGCCCCTCTACCCCAGGTCTTGGGATGGACGGGGTACTGCAGAGTGCAAGCGCGGACAGGTGGTGGACACCAAGGCTAGGGGCCAGACTTGCATCCCAAAGGCCCTTCTGATAGCTGCATCTGGCAGCCCTGCCGGAAATCCGGCGTGGATCACTTAGGGGGCAAGCCTGACACTTACACAACACAGTTTTTATGTCATGTAATAAAAATCAATTTCAGGACCAGTTCTTTTTTTTCTGGTCTCCCTGCCACGGTCACATGATTTTTGTCTTTTTGTATGTTGCCTCATGGCCCAAGGGGCTGCCGTAGCTCAAGGCATCACATCTTTACACCACCATCTCAAAAAGGAAGGAAAAGGCAGGCCATCTTTAAAAGCAATTTATGATATCCTTTTATAATAAAGGGATGGCTTTTCCAGAAGCCATAAACTTTCCTTTACACTCCATTAAGCAGACCTGCTTAAAGCAGACAGGACATCTCATTCCCCAATCAGCATACAGTTGCTCAGTTTTCCTTTCCCTAGGAAGAGGGCATGAGGGCTGCCCAGTGCCCTGTTGGAGAGAAATGGAGAGGCAGGGTGGGTGTCTCCACTGATGAGAACAGGGGTAATGCCGTGCAGACCACGAGTCAGGCTGTATTCAGAGCCAACGTACTGCAGGTGTGCAGGAGGGGAAGTGCTCAAGAAGGAGAAATCGAGGCTTAGTTTCTGGACTGAGCTACCGCGTGGGTGGCAGTACTGCGTGGAGGAGAACACGTTTGCAACAGATGAAAATCAAGAACTGCACATTGGCACCGAAGTGGAGGTGTGGAGGGTGCCCGGGAAATGCTCCCACGGGGCTGTGCCTGGAAGCTGTCCTCATCCTGCTGTGTGCCAGGGCTACCTGCACCGGAGGGAGAGAGCAGCAGGGCCAGGTATTCTTCCACTTCTGCCCACCCACCAATGCCCGTCCCTCTGTGGTTTCTGCTTTCCCAGCTCCTGTCTTTCCCTGTCTGAGGCTCTAGGGTTTGAACACCCAGGCTCCAGAGACCTCTGCCCCATGGTGCTGCTGCATTCTTCACAAATCTTGGCAGACGGCCCCTTCCCATGCATCATCCTGCCTGACTCTAAGTGGTCATCACAGAGGAAGGGGTCTAGACTAGGGGGACATGGAGCCCTCAACAGCCAGAGCAGAGCAGAGGAAGTGCACCCATGGCACAGGGAGACTGCACACGCCACAGAGGAGAAAGACAGCCCCCAGGAAACAGAGGAAGGGTCTCCTGAGCGTGTGGACAGCTAGTCCAGGGAAGAAGTGTGCGCTGCTGATGTAGACCACTGAGCAAGCAAGTCTTTCTGCAGAGGGGAGTGGAGATGTGGAACGGTAGCTAGAGAGGTGCAGCCCAAAGGGAGCTCTGTGGGTGCTCTAAAGGTGGGGATGTTGCCGGGCTTTGCGTGCTGCAGGGAATGGATCGCTCAAAGGACAGACTGCTGCTGACGCAGGAAGGAGTGCGCTGCCATGAGGACGGGCCACAGGACCCGGGGCAGTTTTTCCTTTTTGCAGGAAGGGTTTGATAAGACTCGGGCACAGGCGAGCTGGTTAATTAATCTGGGGGAAGTTGGGGATCACTTTCTTGCCTCTCAATGAAACAAGCAGTAAGATGAGGCTAGGAAGGGACCCCTGGGATGTGGAGAGAATCCCTGGAGAAAGCAGAATCCATAGGGCAGAGGTGGGGCTCTTGCCAGGGTCTGGGCACGAAGTGTCCCTGTGTGGTCTCCAAGTCCACTGAATGACCTGAGGGGCTGCTCACACCTCGGCCACCCTCTTCCTCCTCCCAGCCCTCACCTCACTGGCTTTGGCCCTGTCCCCTGCTCACAGCAGTGTCCCCTGCTCCTGTGCTTCCCTTGACCATCCTGCCCACTTGCCTCCCATCCCACTCACTCTCCAACCCCTGGGGCCCAGATCCAAGGGACAGGTGTCACCCATGGGCCCCGGGAAGGCCCTCAGAGTCCCACATTGTGACTGTGTGGCCAAACACCCTGCTCCATTCCCAGCCCCTCTTCAGGGTCTCACCATGTACTCCTCTCAATCATGCTTCTGCCACTGTGTGTCAGGTCCCTGGGGGCAGTGGGCAGGAGCTCTGCAGGGGATTTTTCTCTCATGTGTAACTCAGGTTTAATTTTTAAAAGCAATGAGAGGCACCAGTGTCTCTGTGGAGGACACAGAAGACTCCCGAATGCCTCCAGTGCCCACAGAGCTCAACCTTCTTGTCATGCATGGTGACCCCATGCAGAGTGTGCACACAGTTCACACAAGCTGAGCTTCACGTAGGCAGCAAGCTCTGTGCTGTACATCATGAGCTCTTTGTTATCACCACAGGTCTTGGTCTGTCATGTGACCACTTATCCTCCGTTCCACTGGATGGAGGCTCCGCTAGTTCCAAGAGTTCTGTAGTGTGGCCCTCCTGGGTCAGAGCATGTTCCTTGTGACTGACAAAGGGTGGGGTCACAAATGGCCACTGGCACCCACAGTATCATACCTTCCTGACACTCTGGAAGCCTCATCCTGAGGCTTTGTCAGTCTGGTGATTTCAGTATCTGGTTTTGGTTTTAATATGTATTCCCCTGACTACCAGAGGCTGAGACCATTTCACATGTCCATTACCCTTCCAAGCTTTCTCCTCGTCCAGCGCCGTACAGATCTCTTCCTCTCCCCCGTTGGGTCTTCTCTGCCCTTTTCATCTACTGGAGTGGGCCATCCACTTTCCCAGTGCAACTCCTCCATCAGACATATGCAGCTACTATCCCCCTAACTCCATGTCTGTCTCTTGCTTATTTTGTGATTCTTTCAATGGATAGGAGCTCTTAACACTAATGTAATCCAACTACATCCAACTCTCCTTTGTGCTTACTGTTTTCTGAATCCTGGTAGTTCTTCCTTACCTCACTGCTGTGAGGATATCCCTTGCCTGTTCTTTTGGGGTGTTGGGAACATACTGTCCTATATCCTTCTAAAATTTGTGCAATACTGGGTGTTGTGGCACATGCCTATAATCCCAGCACTGGGGAGACCGAGGCAGGAGGATTGCCAAAAGCTCCAGGCTAGCCTGGGTTACGTATGAGCTCAAGGTCAGCCTCAACTATGTAGTGAGACCCTGTCTCAAAAATAAATAAATAAATAAATAAAATAAATTTGTGTGGTTTTGCTTTTTTGTTTTACACCACTTGCAACTAATCCTGCATAACGTAAGTCAGACATCGTATCTATGCATTTGTCTCAAACTGGCTGATGCCAGTTATCAGAGGGTGTGGGGCTCTTGTTTCTTATCAAGGACCCTTGTCCCAGTGCCTCCATGCTAATGGCTGAAATGTGATTCAAAAGTTGATGTCCCCATCTGTTTTCTTCCTTTGGAGCCTCTTGGCTATCTGGACTACTTGCGCTTCTAACTTTTAGAACCAGCATGTTGGGTTATGCAGAGACACACAGTGGGCTTTAGACAGGGACCACACAGATCAATAAATCAGTTTGGGGCAAATATACATCTTTATGACATCAAACTTCCAATACAAGAACAATATATATGTTCAATGATTAGGGTCATTTTTGACTTATTTCAATAGTGTTAATTTTTACAAAAATCATGTGCATTTGTATAATACTGATTCAAAGTATTTTGCCTTTGTTTTTTTTCTTTTAGTACTGGGAATTGAACCCAGGAGTCCTGTAATACTGAGCTACATCCCCAGGCATTTTTATCTTTTACTTATTTTTTAAATTTTGCGACAGAATCTTGCTAAGTTGCCCAGGCAGGATGTAAACTCCTGGGCTCAAGTAATCCTCCTGCCTCAACCCCTCAAGTAGCTGGAACAGCAAGCATGCATCTCTGCATTTTTTTTTTTTCAATTCTTCTTTTATTTCCTTTTATCTTCTTGTGCTGCTGAGACATACTCTGCCAGCTAATAGAAGTATGATCCAGCTCTCTGCCCTGCTCC